AAAAGAAATCACTAAAACTTTCCATATCAATGTTACAAGGGGTAACAATTTCCCTCTTCATTCAGCTCCACCGGAAAGTAAAAGTTAAAAAAGAAAAAAAGAAAAAAGAAATCACTCTCACTTTGAAGAAAGGCAAACCGCAGCCATCTTTTTTCTCTTTTTTTCCCCCCCAGTTCAATAGGGAAGATGTAAATAAATTAAGTTAAAGTCTTAGATTGCTCAAAGTCCAGTATCCCCGGGCAATTCCGTCCGCTTATTATTACTCACAAGTCTCTATAATTCACGGAGGTGGAGGCAACGACTCGCTTCGCTCCCCCCCCAAAAAAGGAGCAAAGGCATTTGGGAGACGGAGGTTCCCGGACTCCGGAGGAGCACCCAATTTTCACTCTCCCTAAGTTAAGGGAGAGCTTTTGGGGCTCTACTCCTATCCAGGAGTACTCACCTCGACCCCTTCGCCCGGGGCACAAGGTTCCAAGCTGCTGAACAGCTGATGTCCGCTGTTCAGGCTGGCTCTGACGCCTTCCCAAGCGGACGGCTCCAAAAGAGCCGCCATCGGCGCGCCGTCCCACCGGAAGTCCTTCTTGATTTTGGTTTTCTTAATGTTGAGTTTCAAGCCAACTTTTGCACTCTCCTTCTTCACCCGCATCAAGAGGTTCTTTAGTTCTTCTTCACTTTCTGGCATTAGAGTGGTATCATCTGCATATCTTAGGTTGTTCATATTTCTCCCGGCAATCTTAATTCCAACTTTTGATTCATCTAGCCCTGCCTTTTTCATGATGTGCTCTGCATATATGTTAAATAGGCAGGGCGACAGTATACAGCCTTGCCGGACTCCTTTTCCAATTTTGAACCAATCAGTGACTCCATGTCCAGTTCTCACTGTTGCTTCTTGACCTGCATATAGGTTTCTCAAAAGACAAATAAGATGGTCTGGTACTCCCATCTCTTTAAGAACTTGCCACAATTTGTCCACACAATCAAAGGCTTTAGCATAGTCAATGAAGCGGAAGTAGACTTTTTATGGAACTCCCTAGCTTTCTCCATGATCCAGCATATGTTGGCAATTTGATCTCTAGTTCCCCTGCCTCTTTGAAATCCTGCCTGTACTTCTGTTTGTTCTCGATCCACATACTGCTAGAGTCTAGCTTGTAGGATTTTAAGCATAACTTTACTAGCATGTGAAATGAGTGCAATGGTGCGATAGTTTGAAAATTATTTGGCACTGCCTTTCTTTGGAATTGGAATGTAAACTGACCTTTTCCAATCCTGTGGCCACTGTTGAGTTTTCTAAATTTGCTGGCAAATTGAGTGTAGCACTTTTACTGCATCGTCTTTTAAGATTTTGAATAGCTCAGCTGGAATACTGTCACCTCCACTAGCTTTGTTGTTGCTCAGATTTCCTAAGGCCCATTTCACTTCACATTCTAGGATGTCTGGCTCGAGGTCAGTGACCACCCCATCGTGGTTATCTGGGATGTTAAGCTCGTTCTTGTATAGTTCTTCTGTGTAGTTTTGCCATCTCTTCTTAATCTCTTCTGCCTCTGTTAAGTCCCTGCTATTTTGGTCCTTTATCATGCCCATCTTTGCATGAAACGTTCCCTTCATATCTCCAATTCTCTTGAAGAGATCTCTGGTCCTCCCTATTCTATTGTTTAATAATAATAATAATAATAATAATAATAATAATAATAATAATAATAATAATAATAATAATAATAATAATAATAGTAAAATTGGAAGAGACCTTGGAGGTCATCTAGTCCAACCCCCTGCTCAGGCAGGAAACCCTATACCATTTCGGACAAATGGCTGTCCAGTCTCTTCTTAAAAACTTCCAGTGTTGGAGCATTCACTGTTCCTGGAAGAAGGTTGTTCCACTGGTTAATTGTTCTAACTGTCAGGAAGTTTCTCCTTAGTTCTAGGTTGCTTCTCTCCTTGATTAGTTTCCACCCGTTGCTTCTTGTCCTGCCTTCAGGCGCTTTGGAGAATAGCTTGACTCCCTCTTCTTTGTGGCAGCCCCTGAGATATTGGAACACTGCTATCATGTCCCCCCNAAAAAAAAAAAAAAGAAAGAAAAAGTTCCCACTTCCATAAAGTTAACAAGTAAATTCTATCATTTCATCAAACTACACCTATAAAAAATCATTTTGAACCCTTAATAAGGTTTACAACTTCAATTACTTAGTTATCCTTCAATTATTTAAGCATTAACAATAAGTCCACCTCCAAACAAATTCAATTATTACAACATAATCATATTTATAATAGTCTTCCTTCATCATTAAATCAGAAAAAGAAACACATTTAAGACATTTTTAACCCATCCAATAACATTTAATGTCATATTTATATCTCCATGAAATTTCTTAATACTGACATTTTCCTTTCCTGGATCCAATTTAGGATGTCCTTCCTTCTTTCCTTCCTTCCTTCCTTCCTCCCTTCTTCCCTCCCTCCCTCCCTCAACTGCATGTTCAGCTTGTGATCTGCCAAGATACCCAGAGCAGTAATGTAAAATGGAATCTGTAGTATATTATTGGTGCCATTGTCATGCACTTATTGGATATGATTGTTAACCAGCTTTGTATCTATCTAATAGTAGAATATTCCAGCCCACATTTTGCCTTCTTCTGTTTAAGAATCTCCTGGGAGACTTTACAACAGCAAAAGGTAAATGCCTAAATACTTTTAGCCAGCATTTCCACTTCTTATCTCCTGTTATTTCTTCCATTCTTTCTGTGATGCTGATTTCCTATTCCATTTCTTTCATTTCACAGTAGTATAAAGCAACTTAATCTCCTTATTTTAGTACCTGATATCATCATATAAAGAAATGAATGTTTTTAAATGTTAGTTTGTACATGAAAGATAGTAAGAAAACCCTGTTATCAGTATTATGGTAATTCCTGTTTTATAGCCAGTTTATTTCCCTGGTGAGTTATTCTTAGAAACAATGTGCCCATGAAACAAAAAAAAGTATGCCTCTTACAACATGTACTACATGTTTATAAAAGTATAGGTTATTTAGAAAAATTGGAATGCAGTTTCCTATCATGCATAATATGAACACTGAAATCTAAGTTAATAAAGTCACATTTTAAAATCTCCTTACTATCAGACAATTTCAAGACAAATGGAACCATTTTTTTCAAAAGAAGAGGATGAAAAATGAAAGTAGCACAAACAATACTCAAAATTTTGGAGAAACTGTTTTTACCTCTAAACCTGGACAATTGTTAGTATCATTAAAAAAAATTCCATTAAAAGTATTAATTGCATCCTAACAGGCCTCTCTGTTTTAGCTTCTTCAGTTATTACTGCATATGCCGATACCACAACTCCTTTGGCAGCTCATGTCAACTTGAATCATCCCCATTAATGGAAACAGCTTAGAACCTAGAGGGCCTCTGGGTTAAGACTGGATTGCCTATATTCACTGCTCCAGTCCCACCCTTCCTACAGTCTGGTTCTGAAACCCATCTAGTTGGGGAGATTTCTCAGGCATGTGATTGTCAGTATAATTTCACAATAAAGCTAAATGAGCTGCAAAATCAGGAGAATAGAAAAGAGAACTATATACATTCTGTTGATGTAAGTACTTTGGTTCTGTGTCGATTTACCTCAAATTATTAAAAGTGGTAGTAGCTACAACCCAACAAATGTTAGACTAGGAACTATGTTTCTACATTTTAGAAATAACAATACTACTCACAGAGGTGCTAGTCAAATGTAGAAAATAGGTGGAAAATGCCAAACTTGAAAGAGGCTGATCTAAAATCCCTGAGCCCTCCACTAACCCACCTATATATAAGCTTGATTCCTTCTTGCATATCATCCTAAATCTTACTTGCCCAATAGAATGTACTGTTTTAAAGCACCATGCCTGCGACTTCAGAATTAAGGAGCAGTTTCTGGCTTGACTGAACTCATCACAACTGAGTTGCAAGATGCTGCCAAGAAACTTAGTTTCTCTCACCCGCACCCCACCTTCCGGTTACTTACCATCTTGGAGTTGTGTCAGTGATTCCTTGTTGTCAGAGTCAAGTTCATTACTGAATGTCCGACAGCGGTATCCCTTTTTCTTTAGGATATGGCAAATGAGAAAGCCCGCAAGACCCATGACAAAGAAGACCAAGACCAGCAGGACCAGCATATATAAGCCATGCTGGGGGTCCACATCCCCATCTGTGGCGCTGCTGTGCTCTGACATCCGGAGCTACAAAACGGATGGTAAGACTCAGAGTTCTTTGAAATCCACATTTGTTGTTCCTACTGCAGCTATTACTATGGTGGGTGATTGCTGCTATTACTACTACTATCCATCACTCCACAAACGCATCCTAAAAGCAACATTTTGGCCTTTGAGCGATTATCCATCCAAAAAATGAGATATAAAAATGAGAAAGGAAGGATCTTCCAAAAGAATCCTGCTTCTCAGCTACACTTAGAAAACTCGTCCTCCTCGAGGTGTTTGGGTTTCCAATTTAAACGATTTTGAAAACTGCGACCCCTCTTTCCTCCAATTCCCGTATTTACTTTTTCTAGTCAATTCCAGATCGCTTGCTGGCTCGCGCGCCCCCGCGTTTTCCCGCCACCCCTTTCCTTCGTGCCTCGCACTCATTCCCGTTTCCTGCACGACTTTTCCCAAGGTCGTTGCTGCTTTTCCAATATGCAATAATCTTCCTGCGTTTTGATCGCCTGTCTCGGAGGACCCCAACCCCCATCTCCTTTTCCTATTTGGAGCAAGAGCTAGGGTGGGTGGATGGGAGTAACATTTGCTAATGCCTCTCCTCCAGATTCCCTGGAGCGACCTCCCTCTAGCTTGAGCCCTGTCCTTTTCCGGCACGCGGATTCTTCCCAAGGGCAGAGCGGAGTCTGTATTCGCGCTTCTGTCTTTGCAGCAATGTCTCTACATTGGAAAAGCAAACTCCGCTGCTGCCCCCCCCCCGCCGCCCCTTCTTATTCTCTATCCAGGTACTGTACTCACAAAAAAGAACCCCGAGTTCAGCTGCGAACGTAGGAATCCAAGGTGAGCAATAGGACTGCAACAAGGCTGCAAAAGCCAGAATATAAACAAGTCGCCTTTTAAGGCTGCGGCAGCCCCACCAGCCCACCATTTACCTATTTCCACAACTGCCTGCCAAGCCTTCCTTTCCAGACTCAGCACTGATCTCTGCATCTACTTGGCTGTCCTTCTGAGGTATGTCCCGCTGCAAAAATCTCTCCCCTCAGAATCCTCCTGTCCATGAGGCACTGCCCCCTTCTGTCATCAGTATTGTGCACTCCTGCTTAAGGTGCAGTACCCTGAATGCTGCAGCTTCTTCTGGTATACCTGAAGGATTCTGCTTTGGGTAAATCTATCCACCTTCGTCTGTCTCCTAGCAACTCAGCATCTTGTGCTGCCATATACTATTCTAAGCATCTTCTAGTCTCACCATGTCATCAAAGATGAAGAGCAGATGGCAAAGCTATTGCTATCTACCTCAGTCGTTACCAAGGCTTTTTTGGCAGGAATAGCAATAGTTTTCCAGGAATTAAGAAATATCTTTGAAATTTTAGCAATATCTCAAGAAAAGCCTGCAAGGACTCCCCTGGTCTGAGAGGGCAATAGCTGGAAGGTTTCTAGAGGAACCACTATAGATAAGTATGGGGCTAAGAAATAAGTTTATCATCTCTGTATAAATGCAGTCATCAGGCTTATGTATATTCTTATTTCTCATTTTTCCAATGAGCCTTTCTTATATTGTTTCTTTTACAACCCTCTTCCACATGGTGTTCACATAAAAAAAACATTCATGTCGGATATAGACATCAGATATAGGACAGCCTACATATATAAAAACCCCATGAGAGCTGAAATTCTTTTTTTAAAATATTTTGTTATTTTTTTTAGTTTTGCAATCATAAGTACTTAACAAACAATGTGTTGCCTGGGTCCATTAGTAATTCAGTGGTACATATTAACTTCCTCAATCTAGATCCAATACTACACCATCCAGTGCTTTCTCTCTTCTTCTGGTGGTATACATTTTTTCACACTAGGCAAATACAATTCTTAGTGCTGTTAATATATATACAATTGAATATCAACATCTTTATCACATTTTTCTAATATTATACATAATATCAATAGTGTCAGTTTTAAATATCTTTTCTAACCAAAACATATCTCAATTGCATTTGCACTTAAAATCCTTGTTCAGTCAATATCCTGTTTTACCCGCTTTTTTCATTTTGATTTCCCATCAATGTTCAAAGTGTCTCTATCGTTTATAGTTTTCTCATAATAAATTATATTTCAGTAACCAAAAGCTTCCTTTACTTAGACCCTCTTAGAATTTTCATATTTCCCTTCTCATACCAAAATATAATATTCTAGTTGCAGATTCTATCTTTCTAGTTATAATAATACTTTTATTTCTAACAATTATCTATTCTCTTAGCCATATTCAAACATCTATTTAATAATATAATATCCCATCTAATGGGTCAAAATCTCTATTTTCTTCAGTCTTACTCTAGCATTGCCAACTAACTTTCCAAGTCAATGCATTTGAATCATTAAGTAGTTCTTCCTCTAGTTTTGTGTATATTGTTTGGAATAAGAAAGACAATTTGATTAAAGTATTTTTGGAAGATTGCTCAGCCCATTTATATTCATTAAACAGCCTCCCTCCTTCTCCAATTTTCCACAATTCTCCTAACAGCTTTATCTTCCGTTCGATCAGTTCTTTTTCTTATACTCAAATGTGTTCTGAGAACTTGACAGGTAAGATTTCCGGTATTATCGCTATGTCTTCTAATTCTTCGTTTGTCTGAGTCTGTCTGTTGATTTCTTTCTTTAGGTCCTCCATCTTTGAATCCGCTTCCTCTAATTTTCCTTCTATTTTCTGGGTTACTAGTTCCCTCTTTGTAGTCATTTTCTGAATTTGTAGGTTTAGATTAGAAAATTGTTCTTTTATCTCCTTCGCATTATTTTTAGTCTCATCATGAGCTAAGGCAATTATTTCTTGTATTGATTTCAACATAGAATTTTTTTCTGAGATTCATCAACATTTTCTTGTTGGTATGTCAAGCTGGGGGCTTTGAAGACAAGTGTTAGGGATGTTTTTTTTTTTTTTACCATTTAAGGCTAAGTATGGAACATCCATTTTGTTTTTGTATGTGGTCTTTATAGTCCAGTCTATTTAGGGTTTTAAAAAGTTTCAGTCAATTGTCATTTGAACTCCAAATTATCCAGCCAGCCTATCAGTCTGTCCTTAAGCCTCCCCTAAACAAATATAAGCAAAATTCAAGTTTTTCTGTCCAATGAAAAACATATCCTTTCTGTCCAGAGAGAAAAAAGCAATTAAAAGTTGTTCATCAATCAAAGGTTTATAATCCAAAGTATTCCATCATCTCAATCAGTAATGCATGTTTCTTCTACAGGGAAATAGCTCCACGACACAGCTCTAAAAGTCAGTCAGTATTTGTATTCATAATCCAGGCAGGCCAGTTTCAAAATAGTTTATCGTCTCTGCCACACAGATAAGCAGCCGAAAAGGTTTTTTTTTCCCCTTTTCCCAGCTGCAGTCTTCAAAAGTGAAAGTTTGCACGGACAACAAAAGTCTTATCTGAGTCTGGGCTTCAAGTCAAGTTTCCTTTAAGCATAATAGATTGTAGTGCCATGGTTTGCCACTAGATGTCATTGACGCCTTCTTCCAGTTTTTTAAATCCAAACTTATATTGCAAGTTTTTCAAGCACTTTTAGTCCCCAAATTTCAAAGCTATTTATCTGTATTGATTCCAAATTAATCTTGTAATTTTCTCTGTTTTCCCCCAAGCAATTAGTTCGCCGCTTTTCTTTTCCTGAGGGAATGGGGTGGAAATTCCCCTTCCCTCTCTCATCAGGGAGGATTCTTTGCTTTGGATGTTTTTTCCAGGAAAATGTCTTAACATCATAAAGAGAGGATAAAGTCTCACCCCGTTCCATCCTCATTGCTCAAAAGTTGCTCGTTAGTACTTATTTTTTTCGGTTGTCAGCAGCTTCTGACTGGCCACACGAATGTGGCTAGTCCTTTCCCCACTGGTTTGGAGGGCTTCTTCGGATCAAAACGGAAGGGCTTCTGCCCCTCCGCGATCAACGAGGATCCCCTCCTTCATTGCCTTTCTGGAGTGACTTTCGACCCTTTTTAGGGTCCCCAGTGGGGCAAAATTGAACGTGGAAGAGAGAGCCCCGTCTTCCTGCACCCATCATGCTGCGGTGCCTAATCAGAACGGGAGCTGGAATTCTGTTTGGGTGCATGTTCAGCCCTACAAATTCATGGGGTGTAGCATTCACGATTGGTATTGAAAGCACAGATATTGGGGTCTAGGCTAGTGATATCTTTATTTTATTTATTTATTTATTTATTGAATTTATATACCGCCTTATCTCCCTTACGGGACTCAGGGCGGTGAACAGGCGATAATAAAAACCACGATAAATATACACAAATTTCTGTTCTAAAATCAAATTAAATAACAGGCCTGCTCTAAAAATACCCCATACAAAACCCCCACTAAAACATAATCAAACTACGCCAGGCCGGCCGCACGGAATAGATGGGCCTTCAGGGCTCGGCGAAAAANGCAACTGTACGTAGGTCGGGGGGTAGGTCATTCCAGAGGGCAGGAGCTGCCACAGAGAAGGCTCTCCCCCTGGGGGTCACCAGCCGGCATTGTCTGGCCGACGGCACCCTAAGGAGGCCCTCTCTGTGGGAGCGGACTGGTCGAAGGGAGGTGTTTGGTAGGAGGCGGTCTTGCAAATACCTAGGTCCATTGCCACGGAACGCTTTAAAGGTTGTTACTAACACCTTGAAGCGCACCCGGAAGGCCACAGGCAGCCAGTGCAGCTCGCGCAAGAGAGGTGTTACATGGGAGTATCTAGAGGCCCCCAGGATCCCCCGCGCAGCCGCATTCTGAACTAGCTGGAGCCTCCAGGTGCACCTCAAGGGGAGCCCCATGTAGAGAGCGTTGCAATAGTCCAGGCGGGAAACAACGAGGGCTTGAGTGACCGTGCGTAGAGCGTCACGATCCAGAAAGGGGCGCAACTGGCGTATCAGGCGAACCTGATGAAAAGCCCGCCTGGCCACGGCTGTCACATGATCGTCTAAAGACAGCCGAGCATCCAGGAGGACGCCCAGGTTGCGGGCCCTCTCCGCGGGAGCTGAGTCGCCCCCGATAGCCAGA